TCCACGGCGCAGGATCAAACCGATACAAGTATTTGAGTTTGATAATAACACACCACAACTCTCTCAAAGAGTAGATTTACAATTTGGGATACTCACAACTATTTCCTCACAATACAAAAATAATCCCTCTCAAGAATAAGATGAAAAGAAATGAACTTGTAAGCTTGGAGAGAGCAACAAACAATGGAGACTTTGAACAAATGAGGATTGGAGAATGTATGTAAGTTGTGTATTTTAAAATGTGGGGAAGATGAGTTTATATAGGGGAGAAAAGTGGCAAAATGTAGGATTGAATATTGACCATTGGATTGTGTTAGGAATAATGGAAGGTGGAGATTAAAAGTAAATAAGTAAGAAAATTTTCTAAATTCATTTATTTCAAAATTTTAATATAATAGTAATATAATATAATAATAATAAAAAGTTATGTGAGTAACGGTCAAATGAAATTCAAAATTTATTATAAATATAATAATATAATAATAATAAAAACTATGTGAGTAACCACCAAAATTTTAAAATATAATAATATAATAATATAATATAGTAATAATAAAAATCGATGTGAGTAACGGTTAGATTCAAATTTATATTTTGTAAAAATAACTTTATTTAAAAATATAGTAATAAGAAAAACTCCACCATTTGTTACTCTCCAAAAATCATAAATGTCATACTTTGATATATCTTGATTTGTCCATCATTTTGATTTTGCTGCCACATCATCACGCCGGGTATGTTGTCTCGACTGTAATTTTCGTTTTAGCTCTGATTTGAGTAATTGAAAAGTCATTGAAATCGTTATTCCCGACCTTATACTGTGGACAGTTCAAAATACTGAAAATAGTTAATAATTAAAAAGTAGGTTTGTTATCATCAAAACATCAATTAATTGATTGAAATTAATTAGAGTGAGATCAAGGCCAAAAAACCAACACTATTTTCGAGTTGGGTTCAGAATTTTGTTGTTGGATTGTTTTTTTAATTATTTAAAAAAATTAATAATTGAAATTTTATAGAGTTTAAATATCGAACATTACGTCACAACATATTAATAATATTGGTTATAGACGTTAAATATTATTGATCTTTTTAAAAGTATAGTTGGGTTGTAATCCTACTTTCGGGTTTGTCGGGTTGACCTGTTAAAAAAATGATAATTTAATGAATCACTCTTATTACTTCGAACTAAACGAATAACTAGTTGCTTCTCTTGTCCCGTTACGTACCATCGTCAGCTTTTACGGTTTTAAATTCCCTCTCCAATCGACGTAGGATCTCACAACCCACCCTCCTTGAAAATTCAGTATTCTCGTTGAGTAATAACTCAAGCCCACTACTGATTTGATCCAATATTTTGGTTCAAGTCGTCGTAGATTTTTTATTTCTTCATTTATTCAATATTAATTTATTCGTTAATGTAATAGTAGATTTTTTATTTAATTAGTAATTGTTATTTTAAAATAAGAATTAATTAAAATTTTAAATTGTAATTAATTACAATTATCAAAACAAGAAAAAGTGTAAAAATTAATAGCTAATTTAAAATAACAATTAATTCCTCACTTTTAATAAATATTCTAAACTTAATTGACAATGGTCAAAATAAAATAATTTTTATTTTTTCCTCTTTATTTTCTTCTTTACTCAATTTTTTCCCTCTTTATATGTTGTATTATATTTAAATATAATAATTAAAAATATAATATAATTTTAATTTTCAATATTATATTTAGATTAATCCAGCAATCAAATGATGCAAATAAAAATAATAATTACTAGATAATTAATACTCAATTAAAAAAACTAAAAGAAAAAAAAAATAATATTTTGGGTGAAATTAAGTTGAATCAAATCAAAACCAAAATATATTAAATAAAATTATTAATATTTTTACTTTTTTTTAATTTAAGCTTCTACTTTAAAAAAATATTTGAATTTTTAGTCAAATTTAAAAATTATCTTTTAAATTTTTTAAATTTTTTAAATTTTGACTTTATTTTTTAAATAAGCATAATTTTTTTTTTCTTTTATCTAACGATCAAGGTAAATTTAATATTTTAATACATGTTCATATATATATAGATAGATATATAATTTGTCCATTAAATAATGATAATTGAAAATTAGATTAATAAAATAAAATAAAACCAAGTAGAGAATTCAAAACCTATATTTTAAAATAATTTAATAAAAATACACACGTTGTATATTATATATAAGTAATTGCTGACAATTTGGAATGTGGAAATTTAATATTTATTTTTCATTTAAAAAAGGGTTGAATTTTAAAAATAAAAAAATAAGGCAATAATATCCAATTCAATTTATTTATTGTCAATTGCACAAGTTGTTAAATATTTATAATTCAAATGGTTAATTGCATTAATAATCTCCCATAGAATCTCATAATTTTTAATGAATAACCATTTTATTATTTAATTTTTTAAAAAGATATTTTTAAAACTACGAAAGCTTATGCTCGAAGTGGACAATATCATACCATTGTGAAGAGACGTGTTCGTTTTTAACATGGTATCAGGGTCATGCCCTAAACTTAGTCATATCAATAGAATCCTCAAATATCGAACAAAAGTATTGTGAGTCTCGAAGGTATAGTAAAAAATGACTAAGACTTCGAAAAGAAAATGAGTTGAGCCTCGATTATGGAGAGGCATAATTTGTTCGATGGGAGGTGTTGGATGAAAGTCTCACATCAACTAATTTAGGGAATGATCGCCCCAGTGAAAGTACGAGAGTTTAGAACAAAACTTTTATTGTATAGTAAATATTCATACGTTTATTAATTTCATAATTATTATTATTTATTATTTATTCTTGATTAACTCTAATTTCAAATTAATTATTATTTTTATCATTTATTTTTTAGTAACTCTTAAAATAAATTTTAATCATTTGAAAATCAATTTCTCTCTAAATAAATATTGAATTGAGTTATAAATCTCAATTAAACGTCTGAAAATTAATAAACAAATGTGTTATTAATTAAAATTAATTAGACTCAATATTTAATATGAATTATTGAACCGAAAATAATTATAATTCAACCCAACTTTACTCTAACTTTTTAGAATTTAAATACAATAGTAAAATTATTATTAAGATTTAAAAATTAGAAAAAAAAAACTCGCATAAACTAATAATTATATTTAAATTGATAATTCATAAATTTTAAGAATATTTTAAATTAATTATTTTCGGAAAAAACAATAAATTGAAGGTGGGGTCCACCGAGTTGAGGAGAGTTGGTTTGCTAATAATTGAAGTAACGTTAAAAAGTCTTTGGAGAATGATTGCAGCGTAAAAATCGTGAAGATTAATCGACGGCTGAGGACGAGAAACGTGGAAGTATGTTTCAAATATGAGCCGTTGGATGTCCGTGTGGGTTCAGCGTGTGTTCGGTCCGCGTTTTCAGCGCGTAAAAGTTCACAAACGACGTCGTTAATATCAATTTTTTTTTATTAACTTTCTAAAATAAATTATAATTCAAATCTTAAAAATTAAATTGGATTTTTTTTCGTTTATGTTTATTTAAATTTTTTAAAAATTTAAAATTCAATTCTAGAATTAACATTTTTTTTTATCGAACTAACCCGACCAACATGAAAATAGGCCTACAACTCAATCTTATTTTTAAAAAATTAAGAATATTTGAGGTTTATAATTGATGATCGGTATTTAAATTGTATGATATTTTAATTATTAATATAACATATATTATAGATAAATTTTTTTTAAAAAAAATAACCCGACTATCCAACTCAACTCAAGATTGTAAACTTTATTTGGGTTGCTCGGGTTACAACTCAACCAAAAAAAAAAAATATTATTATTATTATTATTATTATTTTACTAATTTCATATCATCAAAATTTATTTTTATTACTCTATTATTAAACAAACACTTTAAGTAAATAATGAAAAAAAAGTATATTAAAGTAATAAAATAATAATTAAAATAAAATAAACACAAAAAATTCTAAATTAAAATATGATTTAAACCAACAAAAAAAATTTATATTTGAAATTAAATTATAATTTCTTGACTTTTTTTATTTAAAAAAAATCATACAATTAAATGATAGAATGGTCAACATGAATTTATTTTTCTTTTATTTTAAATATTTGACCATTCAACCTTTTCTATCTATTTTTTTAAGACCAAAAATATTTGAGCAAAAAAACAACAACAACAATAATAATAATAATAATAATAATAATAATAATAATAATAATAATAATAATAATAATAATAATAATAATAATAATAATAATAATAGGAATCATTTTTATAAATTAATTAAACTCAATTGGCTGCTTTTATTTTTTATTTTTTTTAATTAATCACATGAAAAAATAGTCAATACCATCGTGTATTCATTAGATGTATGCACGAACCAATCTTAAAATTTCACTCACTCAATCAATTTAGTTTCGATTAAATTATAAATTTTGTTATTTAATTTTAAAGTCGGTATCTCTTAGACACTAAACAAGTTATCTGATATATGTACCTCATTTTGAACGGTGAGCCGTCATAATCTCGACACGCTCATGACAAGTCTTAAGGGAAACTTAAACCTCGTTTCTATTTTTTGCCCAGCCTTTTGGATTTGTCAACCTTTCGACGAGGTGTTGAGGATTGTTGGAAGTAAGTCCTACATTGGTTAATTTAGGGAATGATCAGGGGTTTATAAGTAAATAAATACATCTACATTGGTACTAGACGTTTTGGGGAAGCCCAAAGCAAAGCAATGAGACCTTATGCTTGAAGTGCACAACTTGTAATTTAATATTAATATAAAATATAGAAAATAAATATACGTTTTTTTTTTTTAATTTTAAATTTGGGCGTTTTATTTTTTTGGACCTTTTGGACATTTCCACTGTCGAAATTCCAACAACCGTACATACGCGGTCCGTTGTTTCTCCCAATAAATACCTCTGCCTCCGTTAGGGTTCATCATTCAACTCCCATTTTCTCTCTCAACTTCGTTCATTCCATGCTCTCAAATTCAAAATTCTCACAATCTGATTCAGTTTCTCTGATTTTGATTCAATTTTGAGCTCTTCTTGTTGATGTAAGGATGCCTGCTACTGATTTTCAGAGTTCTTCGTTGCCGTTTACCAACATTGGCCGTTCGATCTTCAGTCTCCGCCGTGATCAAGTTCATTCCATGGAGAGCAGCGCTCATGATGGCGTCTCCTTCGTTTCCGATCTCGATTTCTTCCAGAAGCAGGTCACTCAACGGTTTCAGGATTTGTCGTCGGTTTCTTCTGAGGAGATTTTGTCGCTCTCGTGGATTAGGAAGGTTTTGGATGCTTTTATTTGTTGTCAGGAGGAATTTAAAATCATTTTGTTTGCTCGGAAGGCGGAAATGTGTAGACTGCCGATGGATAGGATGGTTTCGGATTACTTGGAGCGGAGCGTGAAGGCGCTTGATGTTTGTAATGTGATTAGAGAGGGGATTGACCAGCTGAGGCAGTGGCAGAAGTTGTTGGAGATTGTGCTTAGTGCTTTGGATGATTCTAGTCACAAGAAGACTCTTGGTGAAGGCCAATTTCGCCGTGCCAAGAAGGCTTTGATAGACTTGGCGATTGCAATGCTCGATGAAAATGATGCCAATTCTCCGGCTATTGCACAGAGAAACCGTTCTTTTGGACGCAGTAATGGTACCAGAGACAACAGATTCTTGGGGCATTTCCGTTCGCTTTCATGGAGCGTTTCGCGTTCGTGGTCGGCCGCTAGGCAGCTTCAGGCCATTGGGAGCAATTTGACTGCACCGAGGGCGAATGAGACTATGGCTACCAATGGCCTGGCAGTCCCTGTTTTTACAATGAACATGGTATTGCTGTTTGTAACGTGGACTCTGGTAGCGGCGATTCCTTGCCAGGACCGTGGCTTAAATGTTCATTTTTCGTTGCCCCGGCAGTTCGCATGGGCGGCGCCAATGCTTTCACTTCACGATCGGATTTTGGAAGAATCGAGAAGGCGGGAAAGAAGAAATGCTTGTGGGTTGTTGAAGGAAATTCATCAGATCGATAAATTTGCGCATATTATGAATGAATTGGCTGATACAGCACAGTTCCCCTTGACGAATGATAAGGAAGAAGAGGTGAGGCAAAGAATGCAGGAGCTATCTCAAATTTGTGAAACTTTGAAGATTGGTTTGGATCCTCTGGAACGGCAGATCAGAGAGGTGTTCCATCGAATTGTACGCTCAAGAACGGAAGGGCTTGATTTTTTAGGACGAGGAAATAACCATGAATAGAAAATATCAGATTGTTGCACAGATTACAAAACATCTTCATAGTTGGCTTCCAGAGTTGTGAGAAGTTTGAACAATGGACGAGTGAAATAAACGAAAGGGTAAGAGAAATTTCTTTGTAGAATCAGTGTGTAGTCCACAGTGAAATTAGATACGGAATGGACTCTCACATTCCTCAAGCTTGTACCATTAATTTTCTGTCTGTGTTACATCTTCGTTGATGTAGCTGTTCTCTGTGATATTTATAGCATGGTAAATACAAACAATTTGTGTTGGGGTAGGAATATCTTTTGATAAATTCTGCGTTATTCTCTTTGGATCTTGATGCTATTAAAATACAGATTTGACGTCCTCTGCAATGATTGTTTGATTGATTAAGAAAAACCAGATGGGTCGTCCAATGTTAGGATATGATTTCTAAATGCTCTGCATATATAATGAGTTCCTTTTGCTGCGCATTTCGTTTGACTTATGGATTACATTTTATGTAAAACTCTTTCCCATTCTTCCATTTTGCAGGGAATCCGTTCAAAATTGTACGCTGAATTTCCCTGCTTCTGCGAACTGACAATTGGGAGGCTACACACACACTGTCTCTGTCTCCCCCCTCGCAGTACATTTCTTTCAAAAAGTATCATTGTCTTACTTTTAGTTCTTCATTTCTTGGAGGAAGGATAAAAACATAGGAATTACATTTGGGGCCATGTATGTAGGGAATTGGTGAGTTCATAACAAGAAATTTGTGTGAGATCCCACGTTGGTTGGGGAGGAGAACGAAACATTCTTTATAAGGATGTGGAAACCTCTCCTTAGTAGACGTGTTTTAAAAACCTTGAGGGGAAGTCCGAAAGGAAAAATCCAAAGAGGACAATATCTGCAGAGAGTGAGGTTGGGCTGTTACAAATGGTATCGAAGCCAGACACCAGGCAATGTGCCAATGAGGAGGCTGAACCCCGAAGAGAGTGGACACGAGACAGTGTGACAACAAGGATGCTGGGCCCCGATTGGAGAAGGGAAGAGAACGAGTACCAGCGAAGACGCTGGGCCTTGAAGGGAGTGACTTGTGAGATCCCACGTCGGTTGGGGAGGAGAAAAAAACATTTTTTATGAGAATGTGGAAACTTGTTCCTAACAGACGCGTTTTAAAAACCTTGAGGGGAGCTAGCAGTAGGCTTGGGCTATTACCATCTTGGTTCGAGGAAGTGGGTGTCTCTGACATGTGGTTGTGAGGAAGGATAAGGGAAAGTACAAGATTTACCTCAGTCTCTGGATTCATACCATGTGAAAACTAAAACAATATTTGTGTAAGCAGAAGAAGAGAGCGCCCTGTGCTTTGAGTCGAATTCGGTGCCTTGCTGCTGGAAAATTGAAGCTCTTCAGTTTTATTCCCCATCTCTACAACCATTGAAAGGAGTTTTCTGACGGTAAATTTTCTATGAATTTTGTCCCTCACCCTTTTTTGCTGCGAAAGTATTACTTGCTTGATCAATAGACATGCTACTGAGTTGGTCCTTCTGTTTATTTTATCATTAAATTTGCCATTTTGACTATGGACTTGCTTCGTAAAAAGTCCACGCTGTTCATGTATTCTGACCATTGCAAGGTCATCCAGAACGGTTTGAATTCTTTTTTGCAACTTGGAACTGGCAATGGCAGCATATAATTTACCCAATATTTTATTTTTTGGTCAAGCTCCTTTTTGTTGACTTAGAAAAATGTGCGTTTGACCACATTTTGACATTTATTTAGGAATAGGGGGCTGTACTTGTGTCAGACTAATAGCAGGGATAGTTTGTTGATTTTTCTTTCTCCAATAAATGCTTTGACATTACCATAGCCTCCCAGGACACTTAATCTCTCCCAGTCTTTATTTTAATGTTGAATTTTCTGTTATCTTCTTGTGTTTCAACATCAGGTTAACTTGTGCGGGTTGTTTACGTTTTTCTCATTTTATATTTCCTTGACCAATGGTCCTTTGTTATTCAAGGTCTTAGAACATGTGAGATCCACGTCGGTTGGGTAGGAGAATGAAACATTATCTATAAGGGGTAGAAACCTCTCTCTAGTAAACACATTTTAAAATTTTTTAGGGAAAATCCAAAGAGAACAATATCTGCTAGTGGTGGGCTTGAGTCGTTACAAGTGGTATCAGACCTAGACATCAAGCGATGTGTCAGCGAGAAGGCTGAACCCTGAAGGGGGTGGACACGAGGCGGTGTGCTAGCAAGGATGCTGGGCCTTGAAGGGGTGAGGGGTGGATTAGAGGATCCCACATCGATTGGAGAAGGGAACGAGTGCCAGCGAGGACATTGGGCCCTGAAGGGGGGGTGGATTGTGAGATCCCACATCAGTTTGAGAGGGCAATGAAACATTTTTTATAAGGGTGTGGAAATCTCTTCTTAGCAGACACATTTTAAAAACTTTGAGGGAAAATCCGAAATGGAAAGTCTAAAGAAAACAATATCGGCTGAGTGACCTTTAGATTTTAGATTACATTTTGGCATCTGATTCGCAATTTGAGAATTTGGAGTCTTGAATTATTATTTCCGTAAGAAATGAACGCTGCTTGTACATTCAACATTTCTTCTTCAACATAGTTTGTTAATAATTCTATTTCAGAACCTTTATGATTCATACCCTGTTTGCCGCTTGAGAGTATAGATTAGTAATTCTATTTCAGAACCTTTATGATTCATGGCCAATTTGAGAGACTTGGTCATAACTTTACTGCCTCAACCTTTTCCACCCGGAGTTTCGAATTACTTCGATTGGACTGCCCCTGACTGATCTAGTCTTCATTCAACTGAATGACATAGCAGCTGGTTGTACGATCAATATCAATAATTCATATTTTGCATAGCCTTGGGGTACCATAAAAGTTGGAAAACCTTAAATAGCTGTGTCGTCCCTCTCATTATAATTGTTTAGCTGTCGTTAGTTGCAGGCTTTTAATGTCAAAAGTTCTTGATTGTCTTTTCTTTGCCAACTCACTTCTCTGTTTTTAAATCTGTATTTAATGCAGTTTGACGATAGGCTGTAGAGCGTACTAACCATTTGAAGATTCCACCAATTGGTGATGTTAACAGCAAACTAACTGCCCATTTACATTATTATGATAGCGTTTTCATATTTTGATCTAGGAATTGTCTGCTGCTTCAGCATTTTAGTCTCTCATCTTTTACTTTTCATCAAGTTAAACACAATAATTATAAGGGGGAGATAAGAGGCTGACCCTGCAATGATTATTGGAGTATGCATTTTAAACTATTTTGAATCTTGTTCTTTTCTCTTCTTTTGCCTCCTTGCGGAATCTTCATGTGCTCTTTTGTATTATTCTCTTGCTTTTTTAATTTCATCTTTTGTTTGGAAGCAAACTCCTTTTTCTTCATGCTGATGTGCAGGACCGTGCAAATATGGACTTATTTTATGTGAGATCTCACGTCGGTTGGAGATGGGAACAAACTATTCTTTGTAAGAGTGTGGAACCCTTTCCCTAGTAGACACATTTTAAAGTCTTAAGGGGAAGCCCCAGAGGGAAGACTCAAATATCTGTTCGTGGTGGGTTTGGGCCGTTACAAATAGTATTAGACCCCGACATCGGGCGATGTGCTAGCGAGGAGGCTAAGCCCCAAAGGGGGGTGGACATGACGTAGTGTGCTAGCAAGGATGCTAGGCCCCGAAAGGGGGTGAATTGGAGGGTCCCACATTGATCGGAGAAGGGAATGAGTGCTAGCGAGGACGCTGGGCCCGGGGGGGATGGATTGTGAGATCTCACATCGGTTGGAGAGGGAAACGAAAGCATTCTTCGTACGGATGTGGAAACTTCTCTTTAATAGACGCGTTTTAAAACCTCGTGGGGAAACCTGAAAGGGAAATCCCAAATAGGACAAAATCTGTTAGTGGTGGGCTTGGACTTGGGCTGTTACACTTTATCTCTAGGGTCTTTACTGATTTTGAGCTCATTCAATTCCAGAATCTTTTTATACGTTTCCTGCTTCTCGGGTTAGGGTCGAGTCGTTTGATTTGGGTGTGAAAGTTCTCCATCTAAAAGTGCCCCTAGATCAATAGAAGCTTGTGATTGTGTTTTGTCATTTCTTTTGTGATGTTCCTTCAGCGACATTTATTTCTCCATTACCATTTTCTCCCATCCCCAGTAGTTTTTCTTGCTATTTTTTAACAGACTACTTCATATTTCCATCTCACAGCCCTTCAGCTTCTGGGTCTGTTCTGGCAGTGTTTGTGCTACATATTCTATCCATAGGAGATGCTCTCGGCTCGACATTTTCTTCTTCAGCTTCTCCATTATCGGCATCGTCTTCCTCTCCCGATTATCGTCAACCAAAATGGTCTTTCCTGCCATTTACTAGTCTCGAGCTTGTCTTTATAATCTCGAGATTCAAGTGCAGCTTGGCCAGCTTCCTAGTCCCTTACATCTCCCTCTTGTTACATTTGATATTTTTCTTTCCTATGGCTTTTCAAATGAACGTTTCATTCACGTAGGAGAAGAATAGAAGAATTGGAATCGACAAAATTAAAGGTTAAAGCAAACTTACATTAAAGAAATATAAAACAAGTCATGTTGTCGTCCGTTCTTCTTTCCTCACATATCAACTCCAATGACCGTGAAGCACCATATTGCACATATAGAACAGGAATGACGTAGCCCACGACTCTAGCATTTGTATGACATTAGTCACAATGACATAACTTGAGCATGTGGATTTCAATAACAAATTGTTTGTTTTTTTTTTTTTATTTTTGTCGATGCAATAAGCTATGAATAACAATTTTTACGTGATTGAGAATCCATCCAAGTATTAAGTTGACCATAACGGTGCACTTTGTTTGACGAAATTTGAGGATTACCCATAACTTGAAGTGTAACAACCTTACTTTTTCTTTTAAGGTAAGGCGTTTTTATGAACTTGCAAAAATGGTAAAAATGAGATAATAATGAAAACATACCCTTCCCTATCAAAGTTTAAAGACAATGCTACCACCTAACAATGGAACTATGATGCAAATGCTGATAGACATAAGACTTTATTCCATGGTCTCCTAGATAATGTCGTCATTTGTACATGGATCCATGGTCTCCTAGATAATGTCGTCATTTGTACATGGAGCCCTTTCTTATATCTAGAAAAAAAAAAAAAAATAGACGTAGGATGAGTATGTAAAAATATTTCGTAAGTAACTCCAATGTTGGAGTCAGAAAATGCAAACACATGCAACGTAATTGGGCTTTACTTTTTCTTCCGGTAGGATTAGATGCATAATACTTCTATATATATATGGTGCATGAACTCACTAGGTGTACTTGTATACATATTCCTTGGACCTAACTCTAGGCTAGCATAAACTCATGCTGCCAAAAACCAATATAAAAGAAAGGACTGTGCATAGTATCATGGTGTACGCATTCATACTACGTAACATAACTGAAGAAATAATTGTTGTTTTATTGGTTTTCTTTCTTCACGTATGGGCTCGTCAAGCCAACTTAGCTTTTTGATAGTTGAAACTGCAATTGAAGCAAATACTTTGAAATGACAACATCGAAGATATATATAGATATAGATATATATACACAGTTAAACTTACTAAAAGACTTACTTAGGCCAGCGTGAAAGAAATGGTTCAAGTTGTTCGGGTTATTTATTCAACTTTTTTTAATGAAAGAAGATAGTTTAAAATATTTGTTTATTTATTTTCAAACATTTAGTTAAGATTTGTCACTTAACTTCAATGTATATTTTGAAAAATTATATTTCACATAGTTAAAAAATTATATTTAAGAGTTAGAAAGTAAATAATGATAACTTAGGGTAGTTCGGTTCAACCCAATCTAATTTTAGGAGAATTCGTAATCAACTAAATTCATAAAATTTCATTTATATGAACTCATCTATCTAAATAAGTTTATAACTCAACCCAAACGGTACGGATTGGAGCTAAAGAAATGCTAGACTTGCAAAGTAGAAAGATATTGTAGCAGTATGTGTTAGTCAGAAGTTAAAGTTGTCTATGACGTGTTGTCCATGACTGCATGTCTGTTCCAAACCTATTTTACTTGTTATGTTAGATAGGAGGTGTATGACCGATTACCAAAATTATGTCTGCACCCACTAGGGCTAAAATGCCTTAAATTATGTCTGCACCCACTAGTGTCAAGTATGTATGTCTCATAGGAACTCTATGTCAAGAAAAGAACGGACGTACGGCTAGCTTTATGAATATATGTCATGTTTTAATGTGCTGGGACCTCATGAATTTTGTATGACATGTGCATCGGAATACTTCTCCCTTATATTTAAGTACGGACACATACCTTACGACATCTATGTTCTTCATGATATTATGTAGGCCCTTTCCCTCCGCGACGCCTGACAGCGTGAGCCTGAGCTAGCCCAACGAGCTAGATCCAGAGGTATGTATACGAGCCAGTCTGGTGGGTCCATGAAGTACAACACATCCAACCATGCCTAAACTAGAAAGTAGACCCCAAGACCATGCCATGATGTTTTTTTAAAAAATTGGTCACACTATTATTGCTTGTGTTTGCATTTTCCGACCGCAGCAATGGAGCTACTTACTAAATATTTAAATACTACTACTTTTCAAGTAAAGGTAAGATACCATGTATGAATGCCGACGTTGCTATAAAGATCATGGAATCGAAGTTAGGGTAGTAGCTCATAAGTTTAGATCAAGATATTTATGTTACTTTGAACTTATTGTTATTTCGTTTCCATTATTTCATTGATGTTTACTTTTAATTGAAATAGATTTTACGAACATTAAAGTTCCTAAATAAATTTTTTCGCACATAATAAATATGTCAGGCATGCAATGACAACCTTATTTTTAACTCAAATATATATATTTATAGAGAGTCGTTACAACAAACCGGTTAACCGGTGATTAGAAAAAATAGTCTTAAACTCAGCTCATACACAGAACCTACAATGTTGAGGCAGTACATATATACACAAATAACCATAAAGTAGCATATATGCTTAATCAGATTATACAATAAGTGACTATATTTCCTAAGATGCATCTTCAATACAAACTGACCTGAAATTTCTAATTGCTACTCCAAGAGACCATGCTGTTGACATGGGGGAAAAGGCAACCTGACGACACACCGAGTCGGTTTTGATTCTTAACTTTAGTAATCGATCGCAATTCAAAGTCGTAGATGTAAAACAAACCATCTTTTGATCTGAAAACGAGGTCTCCTCTTATTCTAAAACTTAAAAGAGGAATCATATCCATTCTGCAACCTATATTGATACTATGTTGCTTTATCCATACTTCCCCAGACAAGCCCTTCAAGATCCAAATGTCTGTGTGGGTCTCCTGATGAGTGACAAAGCTTAGAGAAGAACCAATTTCAACAATTCCATCATACATATTGCAACTATTTGGAAGCGGTATTGTTTGAAACTTTTCGGTCTCGATTTCCAACGATACAATACAATCGCTGTGATTAACTTGTGGGATCCAATGTAGAGCTCCTATGGCTTCAACAGGTCTAAATCCAAGCCAACCAAAGAGACCAAAAGAAGGTCCATCAACAGCTCTCCACTTTTTAGTCCCAATTATAAAGATCTCGCAACTAATATACATCAATTCGTCACGAAACAAGTGAACGACTTTGTATTGGCCTAAAACATCGTCGTATGCAAATCCATAAGATTCATCATGTGGTGAATTCAAAGTTCCAGGAGGAATAGAAGTCAGCTTCCTAGTCACTGGATTAGTAATTATTAGTCCCCCTTTCTTCAACTTGTTATCGAGCAATATCAAACCGCTGCACGTAGCTCGAATCCTTCCAAAGCAACTTAAGCTATACTCTCCTACGTTGCTAAGTCCATCTTTAAATTCCAAAAAGTGAATGAACGTCTTTGAGGTGGGATCCAAGTTATGGAATAGAGAGAGAGATTCATCAGACTGCATAAACTTTGATTCAATTGACAGGGTGTTTGATTTTCCAGAATGTGGGAAAACTTCGTTGTAATGAGTCTGTGTCGTGAAGATCAAAACCGACTCAGAACGACGGAGATGGGTTTCAACGAATATGGGGCTGCATATGACATTAAACCAGTGCTTACAAACAAACATTGACTTATGAAGTGAATCAAGTGGGAGCCTGATGAGGATGTTTGAGACACAATCTTCATGAACATAAGGAATAAGAGACTCTTGTTGCTTCCTTTTCTCTTCCACAGTTCTAAACAATTCACTTTCTTTAGCTGATCTTGACATACTTGCAGTTCTTTTACAAGAGGGCTCCTCTATCATACCTAATACTGCTCACCGGACAAATGTGGCCTGAGAACAATGGAAAGATGAACTGATTTTTGAGTTCTCTGGTTCTTGTAAACAAGAATATAAACTCGAAACTGGCAATTTGGAATTAATTATCTTAAGACTCTGATCTTCGAAAAAAAAAAAAACTTTTCTATCTGTGTAATTTATACACCATGAACAAGGAATTTGAAGCATGTAATCGACTCTATAGCTTCTTTAATAAATGCTAGTTCTTGCACGGTTACAAAAGATTAAATATACCATAACCTACTGGTATAAGCTTTTGAGTTCAACAACGGTGTCAAAGTAGGATCCTAGGTCTGAACCACTTTAATATCATTTTTTTGCTCATGAATTAGAAACATGTAATCTTCTAAAAGAACAAGGAATTTGAAACATGTAATCGACTCTATAGCTTCTTCAATAAACGCTGGTTCTTGCACGGTTACAAAAGATTAAATATACCATAACCTATCGGTATAAGCTTATGAGCTCAATAACGGTATCAAAGTAGGGTCCTAGGTTTGAACCACTTCAGTATCAATTTTTTTTGCTCATTAATTAGAAACATGTAATCGACTCTATAGCTTCTCTAATAACCGTTGGTTCTTGCACGGTTACAAAAGATTAACTATACCATAACCTATAGGTATAAGCTTTTGAGTTCAACAACTGTATCAAAGTAGGGTCCTAGGCCCAAACCACTTTAATATCATTGTTTTGCTGATTAATTAGAAACATGTAATCGACTCTATAGCTTGTTCAATAAACGTTAGTTCTTGCACGGTTACAAAAGACTAAAATACCATAACCTATCGGTATAAGCTTTTGAGTTCAATATCAGTGTCAAAGTAGGGTCCAAGGTCCAAACCACTTTAATATCATTTTTTTTGCTAATTAATTAGAAATATGTAATCGACTCTATAGCTTCTTCAACAAACGCTAGTTCTTGCACGGTTACAAAAGATCAAATATAACCTAACCTATCGGTCTAAGCTTTTTAGTTCAATAATAGTATCAAAGTAGGATCCTAGACCCGAACCACTTTGATATCATTTTTTTGCTCATAAATTAGTATCAATAGTCACGAGTTGAGTCTTAAGCTAAAAATAAGTACAAAAACCAAAAGCACCATAATCTGTCCATTTGAGTATGGTGCTAATTTAACTATCACTGAACAGGAAAGTCACACATTGAGCCTTGACTTACTCATCTCCAGTCCACTTAGTTCTAAACAACAAAGAGAGAATCAAAACTGCTACAAATCACAGTAAATTTCGGAGCCATCACAAAACATTTTCTCAAGAACAACACAAGGACAGGGAATTGAAACACAGAAACAATTGAAACACCATAATCTGTCCATTTGAGTATGGTGCTAATTTAACTATCACTGAACAGGAAAGTTACACATTGAGCCTCAACTTACTCATCTCAAGTCCACTTAGTTCTAAACAGCAAAGAGAGAATCAAAACTTCTACAAATTACAGTAAATTTCGGAGCCATCACAAAACATTTTCTCAAGAACAACACAAGCACAGGGAATTGAAACACAAAAGAAACAATTAATCTCAGAATCTACCTCCGATCACACACAACAAAGAAGCCACCAAAAAGAAAATGCAAAAAGTAGAACAAATTCCACAGTCGGACGAAACAAATTCAAAGATCAACAAAACGGAAAAGCAGCAAGAACAACAACAACAAGAATCCAGCAAAAGAAACGAGAGTATATTGACCTGAAACTTGAATAGAAGAACAGAGGCGACGGGGAGAGGCTCGGATGGCGACGATCGAGTGAGAAGAATGAGGTTGGATTCGTGGAAGATGTGATGAAGCGATAGAATATTGTAATGTTTAGGAATTGACTTGCAGTGACGGAGTTGTTTCGCGTGCTTCCCATTTCCAAAATATCTACAAATTAATGGCTTTAGGTTTTGAATTTAAATCAATCCTTAAATTTTCACATTTTTTTCAAATCTATTTTTCACATAAGATTTTATTATATTCGATTTTTAATGTAATATTTGTTCGTCGCATATATATTATCGGTATAGTTTGTTCGAAAATTTAATTATTTATATATATATATATATATTTCTGAACTTTGTACTTTGTCTTAAAAATAATCATAAACTTTCAAATGTTTCAATAATACTTTTAAATTTTTTTAAAAAATCTATAAAATAATCTTACCCCGTTGCTTACGATTAATATTTTATATCAAAAATACCCTTCAACTTTTTTTACCATGGAACTTTAAAGGTACATTAAAATTTTTTACTGTTAATATATGGACTGAAACCGTTTATCAACACCTCCATAGATTATCTTTTTTTTTTTTTTATGTTACTTTTGAAAGTTCTCTAATATTTTTGAAACGATGCTCATAGTAAAATAGTTTTTAATTTTTTTAAAAAAAAGTTTAAATATATTTTTAAAATTTAAAAGATATTTTTGCTCTTTTGAAAGTAACCCTAAAAGTATTTTTATTAATTTAGTTTAATAAATTTTTTTTTAAGAAGTTAATATTAATGCTAATTTTTAAAGTTTATGAAATATTTTTTAATATTTCTTTTCATAAACGGAGGTCATGAGTTTAAAAGTAATAATGAAACATTTAAAAGTAACTGTAAATGAATTTTGTTCGAATGGTATTGTCAAACACGATTATCGGTGAATTTGATTACGAAGAAATTAATGAATAATTTTTATTTACTATTAATTTATTTTATATTTATAAAGAAAATGCTAAATATGAAGAGAGGATGTGGTGGAGATGATGGCAAATGATGAAGGAAGATGCTGAAGGATGGATTCGTCTCGACACCCTTAAATGCTTCATTCATTCACCTTTTCGATCAACGTAAGATCTTATAATACACTCCTTGGGAGCCAGCATCGTTACTGACATATCGCCCGATACCTAACTCTGATACTATTTGTAACGGTTCAAGTCTTATTGTTCTCTTTAGGTTTTCCTTTTCGGGCTTTCCCTCAAGATTTAAAATTGCGTCTACTAGGAAGATGTTTCCACACTCTTATAAGGAATATTTCGTTCCAAATGAATATAAAGTCAATGCCTCAATTCTATTATGACCATATTTGCTCAAGTCAAACAGACTCGCAACACAAGCATAAGAAAGAAATTAAAAACCAACTTACAAATACTTAATTGTACTACCATGGACGATCGTCGTAGAGGTAGAGATTCAAAAACGGAATCGACTTCTTCTCGAGTGCAACCAAACATGAGTAAGTCAGAAGAGCAAAACCCCACCATTTGACCATGAAACAGAAAATCTCAAGTTATGCCAAAGATATTATCATTAGTCTACCAAAAAAAACAATACTACTATAAAATCTCACATCAATCGGAGAGGGAACCGAAACATTTTTCTACAAGGACATGAAAACATCTCCTTAGCAAATCCATTTTAAAAACCTTGAAGGAAAACTCGAAAGGGAAAACCCAAAGGAGACAATATCTAGTAGCGGTGCACCTGGACTGTTACAACTACCATTCCTAAAGTCATTCAATAAATACATTCACTCGTTTTAACCAAATCAGCCAATCAATTCAAACGAATGTAACCAGTGATTGATTCATACTATTCTCAAAAAAAATCCTTACATATTGTATCATGAACATAGGCACACTAGAGTTTGTGGGTTCTAGGAGGGTACCAATGGAGGCATCGTAGACTAGATAGTCACGAGTCGATACATTTGCCATAGTCGCCCATAGCCACCGGCATCATCACCCTCGAGTATGGCACATTGGCATTGTTAGAAGTGTCTTAACAATGACATACATATCAGATAGATTTCATAAGAGTCAAGGCATCTTAGATGAACAGAACCTCTATATCATTGATTATCTGATGATGATACTCCCAGAACTGATCAATCCTAGATTTTGAGCATTCATGATATCAACCATAAACACCTACTTAACAGGTGTTTAGAATTTGATCATAATACCTTTTCAAATATTCTGTGTACCTAAATTGATCACATATAGCCTCCCAACCCCTCTAAAACATCTCGAAAACACGAGACTATCTATATACCTATTCCCAAGACTACGAACCAATAAACTGAACTGTTCGTGTCGTGTACAACTTTGGTAGAGGGCTGGCATGAAAATTACATAAATATTCACTTCAGAATGCAGACGAAAAGAAAATGCATAAAAATGAAAACACATAGCCACTGACGAGAAAACTGAGCAGGGCTTACATAATGTAGTTAGTCCATCTCATCTGTTACCCGTTTCACTCCGATCACCCTCGGCCCCTGCCTCCAACTAAATTAAAATAAACGAACATGGCATTATTTAGTGAATATGCTGGCACCGACATCGATAAGAGAGTAAAAAGTCCATTTGATAACATGGTTTTTTTGTCACAGTCAACTCGAAACCATAGCCAAATGTTAGAAAATCAAAAAACGTTAACGGTTTTAAAAACTCGTGTATTTTGTTTTAAAAAATTGGCCCAAGGTGAAAAACTAAATGAAGAATACATGGAACAGATAATGGGTATAGTTTTTACAGGGAACAAAAGAACCAAAACTGTTATCCAATGGGGACTGAAACAACAAATTCGTGTTCGATAAATAATAACAATTCAGTTTATTTACCTCTGTTGGCACCGAGTTTTCCACCGGAGCTACCCTTTCCACGGCCTCCAGAAGCAGCTTTAGCACCGTCATCGAAGCCTCGCCCCATTCCTTTAGATGGTCTTCCACCAGGACCATCCTCACGCCCTCTTCCTCTCCCACGCCCTACACCTGGAGGTTTCCTATCTGAAAAAAACAATGTAAAAGCATCAGTTTCCTTGATACTAACGCTCGAATTAGGCAAAACCAAGGGAAAAAGAGAAATCGATCTTAGTCTTTAATGGCATCATTTATTCGACTCATTTGTTGTGTATGGAAAATCAAGAGTTTACTACATGAAAACATTATCAAATGTAAGCATAACAGCATACCTGTACGGCTTTTGGTTTCTTCCTGAACTTTATCAATAACCTGAGAAGCAATACAAAATTAGTGAAACAGAGAGCAAGAAACATTGCAACAGTTTGTATGAGAACTTAGTACGCATTTACTAAGCTGGTTAGGACAAGTAAAAGAAGGGAATGATAACTTCTACCCTTAGAAAACAAAGAACAGTTTTAATAAGTAACTTTTTTGGTAGATATGGATGGATAAAATCATATAAACAAGTTAAAGATGATAACAAAGTTGTAAAAGGATAAGTAAAAGAAGAGTGGAAATAAAATTAGAAACTAGAAACCAAAATGAGATGTGGCTGATAAGCATGTGACCGAAGTGGAGGAATGTAACCGTCCAAGCCCATCGCTAGCAGACATTGTCCTCTTTGGGCTTTCCTTTCTGGGCTTTCCCTCAAGGTTTTAAAATGCGTTTGCTAGGGAGAGCTTTCCACGTCCTTGTAAAGAATGTTTTGTTCCCCTCTCCAACCGATGTGGGATCTCACAATCCACCCCCTTTGGAGCTCAGCATCCTCACTGGCACTTATTCCCCTCTCCAATCGATCTGGGATCTCACAATCCACCCACTTCGGAGCCCAGCGTCCTCGCTGGCACTCATTCTTCTCTTAAATCGATGTGGGATCTCACAATCCACCCATCTTCGAGGTCCAACGTCCTTAATGGCGTACCGCCAGGTGTCTGGCTCTGATACCATTTGTAACAACCCAAGCCCACCGCTAGCAAATATTGTCCTCTTTGGGCTTTCCCTTCTGGGCTTCCCCTCAAGGTTTTAAAACGCGTTTACTAAGGAGAGGTTTCCACATCCTTATAAAGAATGCTTCGCTTGCCTCTCCAACCAATGTGGGATCTCACAAAGAAGAACTAAATTTGAAGACAGAGTGTTTTCGGTTATGCAAGCATATATATAAGGTCCACGTATCAAAAGTCACAAGTAGACACTTAAGAACGGCAACAACTTGCATGAATACCTCATCTGGAACTCGCAAATACTTGATTGTATTACCACGAATATAACATTCAGGCATTCGCCAAAACCGGTCACCATCCTAACATTTGATAATTGAAAAACCAAGTTATTATCAGTTCAAACTCCTAGAAAAAGAAATGTAAACAAACGAAAAAGATAAAAGTTCATCGTGCATACTTTAGAAGTACAGATGACTTCCCGAAGATGAATGTTCATCCATGTATCGCAGTTAACCAAATGGCCATTGTAAGTCTCACCATTTTTCAATTCCACCAACTGTTGCAATACAGAAATTATATATCCTTAAATCAAGTTCATAACAAAAAGTCCTAAAATATAAGTTCAATAGCTCAGACCAAGCCCTTAACAATCATCATGCATTGGCGTAGTAACATTTAGCCATTAGATTCCTTATGACAAACTATCTGGATATCAAATGTTGAAAGCTTCTTGACAATCGTATGCGAGTCTATCTATTGACCTTAGTCTAGCTGCCTGTAATTGACCTTAGTCTAGCTGCCTGTAATGGTTAGAATTATTGGGAGGGAGTCCTACATTGGCTAATTATCATGGGTTCATAAGTAAGGAATACATCTCTATTGGTATGAGGCCTTTTGGAGAAGCCCAAAGCAAAGTCATGAGAGTTCATGCTCAAAGTAGACAATATAAAATCCTCAAATGCCGAACAAAGAAGTTGTGAGCCTCAAAGGTGTAGTTAAAAGTGACTCAAGTGTCGAACAAAGGGTGTAATTTGTTGAAGGACACCAGAGAAGGACGAGCCTCGATTAAGAGGAGGCTATTCGAGGGGCTCCATAGGCCTCAGGGGAGGCTCTATAGTGTACTTTGTTCCAGGGGAGGATTATTGAGGATTATTGGGAGGGAGTCCCACATTCGCTAATTTAGAGAATGATCAAGTAATCTCCATTGGTACGAGGCCTTTTGGGGAAGCCGAAAGCAAGGCCATGAGAGCTTATGCTCAAAGTGGTCAAAGTGTACAATATCATACCATTGTGGAGATCCGTGATTCCTAACCGTAAGCTCACCCATATATTTACAGAAGATTTTGAGAGAAGCCCTTACCATGGGATGCCCTTGAGCAGTCTTTAGAAGAGAAAGGGGAAGCTGAAGTAAAAACAAAAATCGATTAGAGCGTACCCAAGAAGGGAAAAGAGCAAAGAAACAAGTAACGACGACGAATTTGAAGCAAAATAGTTCAATTAATCCAAGGCATTGAATGAATCAACACACCCTTAGGTTACACTACCAGCAAAATTTAACAACAGGACCAAATAAGAACACGAGGGAAACATACCATCTTTAAGGACACGAAGCAGAATCTAGAAGCGGAAACCAATCTGTCGGGAAAAAAACCAAAAGAATTTCAAGTTTCCAGATGATCATACATTTGAATGAACAGATTCATGAAAAGAAACATTGATTCGTAGACTAATGAAATCAAGAGAGTCACTAACCTTCGAAGCTCTCGATCCGAAAGAGAAACAAGTTCTTGAGTAGAGTAGGAATTTTTTTTCGAATGAATTCAAAAGCGGTCGAAATGACTCATTAGGCAGGTAGGACGAAGAAATCTAATTGTTCTGATGATGCCGCCAACAATATTTTTACTATCTCAGAAGAAAACACAACCGAACCAGTTCGATAATGAAAAAATTCGAGTTTCGTTTCTAGGGTTTCGTTTCTTTTTCTTTTAATTTAATCCCATTTTAAAATTTTTAATTTTTTCAAAGATCGACCTTTTAGGAGAGTATTAAATTTCTAGAGAACATCAAAAAGAGGTGGAGTGTTCCCGTGTTTAAATTGGAATAGGGAGAGATTTCTCCTCGTTAGACACGAGGTTAAGATTCTACGAAAACCTAAACAAAAAGAGGTAGAGTATCCTTGTGTTTAAACAGGAATATGGAGAGATTTCTCCTCGTTAGACACGAGGTTGAGATTCTACCAAAACATGACCAAAAAGAGGTGGAGTATTCCCGTGTTTGAACAGGAGTAGGGAGAGATTTCTCCTCGTTAGACATGAGGTTAAGATTCTAAGAAAACCCGACCAAAAAGAGGTGGAGTATTCATGTGTTTAAACAGGAATAGGGAGAGGTTTCTCCTCGTTAGACACGAGGTTAAGATTCTATGAAAACCCGACCAAAAAGAGGTGGAGTATTCCTGTGTTTAAACAAAAATAGGGAGAGGTTTCTCCTCGTTAGATACGTGGTTAAGATTCTATGAAAACCCGACCAAAAATAGGTCGAGTGTTCCCGTGTTTAAACAGGAATAGGGAGAGATTTCTCCTTGTTAGACCCGAGGTTAAGATTCTATGAAAACCCGACCAAAAAGAGGTTGAGTGTTCCCGTGTTTAAACAGGAATAGGGAGAGATTTCTCCTCGTTAAACATGAGGTTAAGTTTCTACGAAAACACAACCAAAAAGAGGTAGAGTATTCTCGTGTTTAAACAAGAATAGGGAGAGATTTCTCCTCGTTAAATAAATTGGATGAGAAACGAGACTATATTATACATTATATTATATTCTTTTTTATATATTTTAATAAAAAAAATATATTGTAAAAGGGAAATTATGAAGTAAAAAATTTTATTCGAAATTTTTTTTTACACTAACAGAGAATAGAAAAGAAGATGAGAATGGAGAAGGCTTCTCGTCTCCACCCACCTCATAAATATGTCTAATTTCACGTTAACTTAAGAAGTGAACTATATTATTTTATTATAAGTTAAAATTTTATTATATAGTTTTTGTACATTATCATTTTATATTTATCATAACGTAAAACGTACATAACATAACACACGAATACTCCACACGCCCTCCCTGACTCCACGACACGCCAATAGTCCCACAAACCTCAACCATGCACCCTGATCACCTGCAAGAAAGAAACGCAGAGAGAGAACAAGATAGAGAGAAATAACTTGTAAATTTCCGATGAGGCCAAACCCACAAACTCGACGCCAAGAACAAACAAACCACGTTGCAAGAACGACGATTGACGACAACGTACACATAGGAGGTAAGTCTTTCGTACTCTGTGCTTTCAATAACGTCAAATTCCCTCGTCGTCCGCGAGATCTGAATCTCAATGTAACGTTAAATTTCTCGATTTAAGTTAAATTGAGTTACAAATGCAACGGGATGAACTATTGAATAGAAATAGCAACCAATAACATTTGGAGCGATTTCGAGGAATGGGGAGCAAACATACTCAAACTTAAGAAAAACACTGGCTAAGGCAAACTAGGTAAGTGGCCCTACCATTAGCTTTGTTATAATTGTATGCCGAATGATGACATGTGCGCATGGCTTTGCACGTGTCATATGTTCGTATAGGTAAATTGTTATGAAATTTTGTGTATGCGATAATACGAAAATATTATGATGTATTTAATAAATTGATATGTTTATGATAATGCTTGAGTTATGTGACGTGACTGTTATGATATATGATATGTTATGATATGTCTATGATGTGAATTGTTACGTCTGAAGGCATGATAATGTTATGGTATGACATATGTGCAACATGAATGATATGTGATATGATTAACATGCAAATGGAAAATTGGCATGAAATACAACCCCTATACATGCGTGCAAGATATGATAAAATGACATGATACGAAAGAAAACGCTAGAGGGTTGTAATATATGATAATGAAAATGGAAAAATGTCGAGACCTCATACATTATTGTCCGTTCATGCATTGTGAGATACCTCTTCTCCTTTTATGATAATACGGATGCGTACGCTACGAGGCAGAGAAACGATCATTATATTCACCATAATGCTACCATGACGATTGCTATTCCTAACGGGTGTTCGACATCAACAACTACCAGAGAATACTCACCCGACCAAAAAGTGGCTCATGAGGTGTGCAATCCGACTTGTGGGTCCATACTCGCATGTGTGGACCGTGTGTAGGAAATTATGTACACATCCAATTGCCTATTTAAGATAGTCGTTGTAGAAAAATAGACCGTTATGATAAGTCCCACTCATAAATAGTATGTGTTTGCATTTAACCCCAATAGGGGGTTGCGGGAGTTGCTTACTGAATATTTCTTAAAAACACTCAAGTTACGTGCTAAAATACTCGAGGCTACTCTTATTTTTCAAGTAAAAGCAAGACATGGACGGTGGAATCGCAATCTAGGAAGTCATGATACATGCTTAGGGTAGTCTTGAAATTTGAATTATTTTATTTGAAGGTCTTAGAAGAGACATGCAAGACATATATACAAGACATATATACAGTAGCGACTAAGTAGAAAATCTAGGGTCAATCTAGGGTCGTTACAAACAGGGTCTACGTTACGTTGCACATAAGAGATCTTGTCCTAGAGTAGAGGCAATATCAAACCGTATTACTTAGCCTAGTGTAAAGGCAAAGTCTACTAGAGTATTGAACATGCGCACACAAATTGTGTGTAGCCAAACAAGCTTGTACTCGACGGGCGAAGAAAAACCCCATCTAAAGTCCAACGAACCACGAAGACAGGCAATGGCGTAGAAATCGAAATTTATACATCATCTAAACTCTAAACTAGATATGCACACAATATATTCTAAACCAAAATTGATATAAACCCAAACTACTCATACTTACATCTTATATCTACTGCACGAAGTCACTCACTATCCACGAAATCTGCGTCGATGACATCGCCATCAGTTTCTCCAGCTGATCTCGACGAAGCGGACTGAGTTCCCGATGCAGTCCCGTCGCTAGAGGCTGCTCCTTGGCTGTAGAGGGACTGCCCCATCTGCATTACTTCTTGATTCAGTGCAGCCATGGAGTTTTTGATCGTTTCGGTTGACCCGTTTGCGATGGCGTCCTTAAGGACGTTGAGCTTAGCCTCAACGGTCTCTCGAACGGATTGGGGAATTTTGTCTCCGAGTTCCTTTAGCTGTTTTTCGGTTTGGTACACAGCAGAATCCGCTTGGTTCTTTGTGTCTGTGGCGTCCCTCTTCTCTTTGTCTTCCTTTGCGAACTTCTCTGCTTCTTTAACCATTCTATCCACCTCGTCACTTGGTAGAGTACTAGCGCCAGTGATTGTGATGTCCTGCTTCTTCCCAGTTCCCTTGTCAATGGCGGTGACGGAGAGAATACCGTTAGCGTCGATGTCGAATTTCACTTCGATCTGAGGAATGCCACGGGGTGCGGGTGGGATACCGTCAAGGAGAATTCGTCCGAGAGACTTATTGTCCCGAACGAACTCTCGTTCGCCTTGACATACATTAATCTCAACACTTGTTTGTCCATCTGCTGCTGTCGAAAACACCTCGGATTTGGATGTTGGTAACGTCGTGTTCCTCGGAATGATTTTGGTCATTACTCCGCCCAAAGTTTCCAAACCGAGAGAGAGCGGTGTGACATCCAAGAGAACTATGTTACTGACATCTCCAGCTAAAACACCAGCCTGAACTGCAGCCCCGAGCGCTACCACTTCATCGGGATTTACTGTCATGTTCGGTTCTTTCCCTGTCATTTTCTTAACAAGCTCTTGAACTGCTGGGATACGAGTCGAGCCCCCGACAAGGATGACTTCATCTATGTCTTTGAACGACAACTTTGCGTCCTTTAGAGCCGTTTCCACCGGCGATCGCAGCCTTAAAAAGACAGCATCCAGAGTAAGAAAATGAATTCAAATTCATGCACATAGAACTCGGCCATTGGAAGCAAACCTTACCTATCTAGCAAGTCTGAACACAACTCTTCAAACTTCACCCTAGTAAGTGTAGTATCGATATGTTTCGGACCGTCTCTGGTCGCAGTGATAAATGGCAAACTGAAACACGAGGCTTATTCAGAAAACACGATAAATAAATTGATCAACCGATCAAGAGGCTAAGGGAGACACAGTTGTTGTACCTAATATTGGTCTGTGTTAAAGACGATAGCTCAATCTTTGCCTTCTCGGCCGTTTCGGTTAGACGTTGCAGCGCTTGTTTGTCTTCCAAAAGATCGATTCCTTCGTCCCTCTTAAAGCTCTCGGCAAGCCAATCGACAATCCTCTGAATTTAAAGCAAAGCAAACATGTCATTTTGTTATGCAGATAAAGGAACACAGAGAAGATGAAGGAAAATGAGCAACCAACCTTGTCAAAATCATCACCACCCAAATGGGTATCACCTGAAGTAGAAAGAACCTCAAACACGCCATCTCCAACCTCAAGAACTAAGGAGAAACAACATTTGTCAATTCAAACAGTCAAGAACATCGAGAAAGACGCAACCGACGCAGAGTTGTGGTATACCTGAGACATCAAACGTTCCACCACCGAGGTCGAAAACGAGAATGGTCTCGTTGGTTTTCTTGTCAAAGCCATAAGCAAGGGAAGCAGCAGTTGGTTCATTGATGATGCGAAGAACTTCGAGACCGGCAATGCGACCGGCGTCTTTCGTCGCTGTTCTTTGAGAATCATTGAAATATGCTGGGACTGTGACTACGGCTTTTCCTACTTGATCATTCAAGAACTTTGATGCATCATCCACCAGCTTTCTTAAAACCTATACCAACCAAAACAGATCTATAAGTCTGTAACAGAGTCAAAATTGAAACGATCACATTCGGTTAATGGTATTAGCAGCAGAGATTAAAGCTTAATCAAATCTCCTAAATTTTGATATTTTACACCTCTATACCAAATT